ACACAAGGTAAAATACAAACCACAGGAGCACATAGGAGGTGAAGAATAGTTTCACTGAGGGGAGGTAGTATATCATATTAATTCCAAGCATGGGATTTGGAGTCAGAAAGACCAGGGTTCAAATCCTGGCTCTACTACTGATTAGATATGGAACTTTGACATTAGGAATAACATCCATTTTTAAGAATTATTTTAAGATATGTATGCAATATGCATAAGAACTGGCCTATAGTATATGGGCAAGTGTATGGTAATCATATCAAGCGTTTGACTGTTAAGAAAACAAGAAAACTTGGGTGGGAGTTAGGGGGGAACATGAAGTCCAGATAAACTTATTTACAGACTGAGAAGGAGGCTGAAGAGAGGGAGTGTTTGAGGATTTGTGGAAAAAGAGAAAAGTGAGGGTTCCATTGATTAGAGGAGATGAAATTTAGACCGTAAATTGGGGGAGGACTTCAGCTTTCTGTGGTAGGGGAGAACTGGAAAGTGGAACATGCACCTAACAGAGCAACTGGTTCAATTAAAAAAAAAAAAATCACTACAGCCAAGATCAAATTGATTTACACAAACATTCAGAAAAAGAAATGGGTTGGAAATGAAAATCTTCATGGAGGGTTGAGGGAAATGATCTAGATTTAGATTAAGGAAAATCTCTTTGAGGCACATTTTGTTTTTCATTTCCCTAACAATACGCAGCAGGCATGAGAGAGGAGCAAGGAAGCTCCGCCCCAAGGGTACCGCCCACCCGGAAGGAGGCCGGGCAGGCGCTCCGGCGGAACCCGAGCGCGGCCGCTGCGGCGCAGGCCGGGCCGGTTTCCGCGGAGGACGCCGGGTCCTTTGCTCTCGGCTCCCCGGTGCGGGTTTGAATCTGGGAGGCACTGCTCTTTCGGTTCGCTGTCCCGGTTCGTGGGGCTACATATCCGGACCCTGAGACATGTCGGGGTTCAGCCCGGAGCTCATCGACTATCTGGAAGGGAAGATCTCCTTTGAGGAGTTCGAGAGGCGGAGAGAAGAGAGAAAAACCCGCGAGAAAAAAGTGAGGAGATGCTAGGCCAGGATGCCCCTCACTCACTCGCCCAAATACGCTCAGAGAAATGTCGGGGACCCAGCAGCTGCTTCCCCTTGTAACCGAAACGCCAGTTCTTACTGGTCATGCCTGTGCCAAGCTCTTCTTAAAAACATTTCCCCCGCCGAAGAGCCTTTTGGTTGTAATCTCTTTTTTCTTCTGCCAAATTTACTAATTTTTATTTGCAAGTAGCTTAACGCTGGTAGGTTAAATGGGGAGGTGGGGGTGGGAGTGGGGGTGTCGAGTTTGGAGTTAAAGAGCATCTGGTTCTAGCCTTAGCTTTGCCACCACGTCTTTTTGTGACTCTGGGTGGACGACTCACCTCTCTTCTTTAGTTCTCAGTTTCTGTAGCTAAACTGAGGGATTTGAGCTCTCTTATTTGAGGAGTCTCCCAATGGTGTGATGTAATCTTCCACAAAATAAGTGAATTTTCTTGTCTGGTAACAAAATCTTCACTCATACATATTTTTTTCATACTTAGGAAGAAATGTTAAAATTTTCCATATATACTCACTTATTTGACATCTGAGGGAAAATAATATTGCAGCTTTTGAAATTAATTGATGGATTCTTTCCTAATTCATGCGAATAATAGTTCCCTATTTCTTTTCATTAAAAAAAACTAAGATACAGTGTGTAGATTAATGAAATCCTCAAGATATTTTTTAGAAATGACTGAGTCCAAAGGATGAGGCCTAAGTACTCTGAAATGCTTCTACAAAATTCAAATTTGATTCCACATGCTATATGTGTGGAAAGTCAAGGTTTACAGAAATAGAAAGTGAGGCAAATGCCCTATTCTCAACTGGAGAAAGCTAAGTCTGCATTAGTTTTTGGAATCATTTATTAATTTTCAATCACAGAGTCTTCAGGAAAAAGGAAAGCTAGCAGCTGAGGAAAATCCAAATGACTCTGAAGTTCCATCATCATCAGGAATTGACTCTACCAAATCCCAGGACAATGATGCCAGTGAAGGTATGTTAAGATCATTTGCTACCTGCATTAAATTTTAAGAGTACCTAATAATTCAGTGAACATGTTCTTTTTTCATTGCAGTGACATTCTGTTGTTGATTACCTGGTTTATTGGGAGCACAGTGCTGAGTCTGCAATAGGTGCTCAATAAATATTTGTTGAGTTGTCGAATATCGTGATGGTTAGTCTTATGGGTTATTTTTCTGGAAAAGTGTTTCAAGTTGACATCAGTATTTGTTTGGGAGCCTTTTTAGATTTATTTTTTAAATTGCTTCTATATATCTAAATGAGGATGTATCAGTAATTCCTACAGAGTAAAATACATTGCTTTGTGAAAGCTTTCTTTTTTTGGGGTTGTTTTTGGAAGTGTTCATTTGTTTCTTTTTTACTTTTGAGTTTAGTATTGCTGGGGTAGAAATTTATGTGCCAGAAAATACTGGGTGTTTTTCCTTTTGACTACTGAGCGTTCTGACACTTGCCCTTCCCCACCAATCTCAATGTGTCTTTCTTCAGGAGAAACATCAGATGGAGTTAGTAAGTCAGTTCACAAAGTCTTTGCTTCCATGCTTGGAGAGAATGAAGATGAGGAGGAGGAAGAGGAAGAAGAAGAGGAGGATGAGGAAGAAACTCCCGGGCAGCCCACCGCAGGAGACGTGTTTGTGTTGGAGATGGTTCTTAATCGTGAAACCAAGAAAATGATGAAAGTAAATTGCTACTGATTTTGGTATTAGTTAATAAAGAGAATGTAAAAATGAGACAGTGAAAAAGAAATCTTTAAATTATACGTATATTTGGAAAGAATTCAAACTGTAAGAAAGGAAATACTTTGAGACAACTGTTACTGGTTTGTTATGTCTCATTTTAGAGATTTTTAAAACTGTAAAACCTTAATTATTGCATATGTCAAGATATAGTTTTGCTATTAAAAGGTCTATATTGTAACTCGATATTTTTTAACATACTTCATTCTGAGTAGATAAATTTGCGAGGAGGAGGATCTTCAGTAGATTGCATCATAATAAGTCTCCCGGCATATGCATTCATTTTGCAGCATCCAGGTCTACATTTGTTGTTATTCCAGTTAGTAACTCACTAATTCCTGGCCACTTTGGTCTTGCTTTCTTTATGTAATATATTTTACTGCACTTTGAAAACTCTACTATAGGAAATTTTGTTGTTTTTTTTTTTGTTTTAATTTTCCGAGGTGTCCCTTTTGGAGAGTATCATAGATTAATTTCTGTTTCCTGTGATTGAATTTTAGACTTTTTCCTGAAATATGGACTCTAATGTTAATGAGTCAGTTGGAATTGCAGGCATTTAGTCTTTAGTTCTGAATGTAGATCTAAAAGTTTTAAAGAAAAGTTTGTTTCATTATGGTTTGTATTTATTAATATGGCTGGAATTGAAATCTAAGACATTACTATATTTTAATCTAAATGTCATTTTTATTCTGTGCAGGAGAAAAGGCCTCGGAGTAAACTTCCCAGAGCTCTGAGAGGTCTCATGGGTGAAGCCAATATTCGCTTTGCTCGTGGAGAACATGAAGAGGCGATACTGATGTGCATGGAAATCATAAGACAAGGTGTTTTCCGTTTTATTGACAGTTACAGTTTAGCATTAGCAAAGGGGGATTTTCATGAGGGGGCATGGTGTAGAACAGGGGTTTCCATGAGATTGATTACACTTCGTTTAGAGAAGAGAATGCTTTAAAAATGCAAAAAAAATGTATGAAAATAAAATAATACAATTTTGTGCTTATTCTAAATTCCATTAAGTAGTTTGTATACTTCTGTTAGAGTTATTTAAAGACTTTAAATATTTTAAAAGGGCCCATAGTTTGAGCCATAGGATTGACATCAGCTCAAGATGTTTTTTAAAATTTTTTATAGCTCCTCTGGCTTATGAGCCATTCTCTACTCTTGCCATGATATATGAGGACCAAGGTGACATGGAGAAGTCTCTGCAGTTTGAGTTGATTGCTGCACATTTAAATCCCAGTGACACTGAAGAATGGGTTAGATTGGCAGAAATGTCTCTGGAACAAGACAATATTAAGCAGGCTATTTTTTGCTATACAAAAGGTAATTAAAATGTTTTTCTCGTTTGATAACATATTACATAATAGGTTTTTTGATCATTGTACTTGTCACTTTGGGGTGATGTTAACTGAAATATACTTTTTCCTTATATTCTGTTATACCAGAGGTAAGCATTTGGGGTTCCTCTATTTCATATTAATCAACAACTTTACTTATATTGTGAGCTAATACAGCATAAAAGTAAGAAGAACAGTACTTTCATTTTCCCACTGAGATCAGTATTGGTTCTAAGCTGTTCCTTAAGGGTTAATATCAGACTAGAGTGATCAAATGAGGATTAATATGATTCAGTTTCTATCTAGTCTTAGATCAAACCTTGTTGAGAATTCCAGAAAGTAGATTTATTCCTGAATAACCTGCTTGGTTTCATAGG